AGTAGTAGTATAGTAGTAGTAGTAACTGTAATTGTAAGTATGGTATTGGTTGGATTATGTTAGAATCATTTTGCTGGTATGACGCAGTAGCGGTGGGTCATCTCCAAACAGGACGAACAGCACCACTCTGAACCCGAGTAGCCAACACAAACTAGCTAGATTTGGGTTTAGGGTTCGGGGACATTATCTTTTTGCATGACATGCAATAGTTTACCCATATCGGGGGCGCTTCTCTTCAAGGCTGCGTTAGCGCAGCCACTTTCCTTGCCTTCCCTCCCGGCCCACCTGATCTGGTTCCCTGTTGGGATACTATTCCAAAAACTAAATTTTGATAGTCTTGGTTGGCCCTTACAATGCTTACAATACTAGTTGCTAGTCATCTAAAGCAGATTTCAACAATAAGCCAGTGAGCAGCCAATCGTCACTAGTTTCCATTTTCTTTTCCATTACTGCCCCTTACAATATACCCCTATATGCCTATACACTTACTACGTAGTAGTTTCCATTTTCTTTTTCTTTATCCCTATATAACCCCTATACGCCTATGCGTTAACTACGTAGTAGTTTTCATTTTCTTTTCCATTATCCCTATATGAGCCCTATATGCCTATATACCCCCCTAAACTGAGATGTGTGCATCTTCGAGGCAGTCGGAAAGCTGACCCAGCTTGAGATGGGCCTGGCAGGGCATGGGACCAGCGATGCATTTAGGGTTAAGGGTTTAGGATGGTATTGAAGTGCCCCCCCCAAGTTGTAATGAATAGGCCCCATTTTGTTCTCCCAAAGTGTCACCATGTGCAAATTAGATCATGAGATTATGGTTCTCCAAATGTCCAGTCCTCCTATCAAATGAGATTTGCAAACAACATATTTCACTGGCATTATTCTAATAGGTATACATACCTAAAAGAAAACACAGCCTTAGCAGCTACTTATGAAGGTTCTGCCTGGATACTATCCCACAAGTCCGACGCACTAAACTGGGGAATGGAGGTTTGATTTACCTGTGTTCATGGGTTTTGGGTTTTGGGTTGTCCAGCTATACATCTGAAAGTTAGATGGCAACTTGATCAAAAGGAATGCAGTGCTTTGATGTCCAATCCTTAAGTGGAAACGGTGGCTGCAATGTGCAATCTCTCGTGCACTGTTATGCTATCTGTGGTTGAGCTGTCAGCTTCAAAACCGACATCTCCAACTTAGGGGATTTTTGAGGGACCGCCAGATTTGGTTCGGGAATCGACCGAAGCTTTTGAAGCAAGTGAAGCTAGTAGCTTCGGAGCTTCGCCCCCTAAAACTGAAGCAACTGGCTTCGCCCGGGGCTCTGAAGCAAGTGAACCTAGTAGCTTCCGATAGCTTGACTTGCTTGAGAGCTTCGGGCGAAGCCACCTGCGTCATTTTTAGGGGGCGAAGCTCCGAAGCTACTAGCTTCACTTGCTTCAAAGGCTTCGGTCGATTCCCGAACCAAATCTGGCGGTCCCTCCATTTTGGGGTCTATGTTGGGGTCCCCCAACTTTGGGAAACTT